TTTTAGTTGGTCTAATAAAAGATATCAGATTTGCCCAAAGAACCTTGTCTACCTATGTCCTTAGACCAATATGGCTACAACTACCCCCCATAAGAATAATGGTAAACTAATTATTTTTCCTCCAAAATTCAGACCCATTGTACAAAGGCAAAGGGATCACTGGTCCCAACCTAACAAGACCACTCAAACTCAGCACAATAAGTTCCTGCTGTCAGGGATTTTTGTTTGTAGTGTTTACCTATGTAATGTCATCTTTTCCTTTGTAAAACTCCAGTATTACAAGTACTTGTTACCTGCTTTCATAGATTTTGCTTTCACAGACATTAGGGCTGGAAGGGACCTTGGAAGATCATTGAGTCCAGCCGCCTGCCCCAGGGGCAGGAAGTCAGCAGGGATCATAGGATCCCAGCAAGATAAATATCCAAATGAGTCTTGAAGGTGCTCAAAGTAGGTGCTTGAACCACCTCTGGCAGCAGTCTATTCCAAACCTTGGGGCTCGGACAGTGAAGATGTTCTTCCTTATGTCCAGCCTGAAATGGTCACGGAGGATTTTGTGACCGTTTGACCTTGTCATCCCTTGGGGCGCTCTGGTGAACAGACATTCCCCCAGTTCTTATTTGAGTAAATAAATACATTCTTGAAATCAATGAGATTACTCATAACTATGCACAGGATTTGTGTTTTAAAGTAGAATGTACTATTCCTTAAACAGTTAAGAGAAGACACACTAAACAAAAGCATATGGTATGCACATGGATTTCTCACATGGAGTACCAACTTGTGACTGTTTTACCACAGTTGATCTTGTGCCATTCTTCCTTTGTGCAGAAATGTTGCAGCAGTAAAAAAAGAAATCTTAACATTTTGCATTAAATTTGAACATTCATTAACATGCCCAACATCTTACTTGACAGCCTTGTCTGCAGTCTCAGCAGTGGAACCCAGGAATGAATGAACACAGCAACTGCTGGCTTCCTATTCATGGCAGGGGCATACTAGGAACGAGGCATGTGACAAGCTTCAGGGCACTCCCAAGAGGTATAGAGTGAGAGTCCCCAAGCTGTCAATCCAGCACCTTTCCCAAGCTCTAATTAATTTTATACATAATTTAATTTTTTTTAAATCATTAATTCATGAAGAATTCTGAATCATAACCCTTCTAACAAAGCACACAGCTCCCCATGTAAAAGATGTATATTCACAGAAAAGAACTGGAGATTAAATAGACAAGCTTTGTAAATCCCAAGCAAGCCTGCAGAAGAAACCCAGGGCGTTTTTATGATAGAGGAAGAAGGAAACAAATGTTTCATCATATTTTAATTTAAGATTTTTTCCAAAAGCAGGACTGTGTATAAATGTTTTATATATTAACATATCAGGGCTCGTGGACAGAGGTAACATCTTTTATTAGACCAGCCTTTATGTATATATTAACCTTTGTGTGTGTGTGTGTGTGTGTGTGTATATATATATATATATATATATATAT